GGGCTTGGTCTTGTTTTTGTATTTTGTATTTACTCTTTTCTTTTGCACATAAATTTACAATGACATTGTCAAATCTCACAATGCCCAGCGATATTTCATCAGCCGTCATGTTTATTTACATTGGATATTGTAGTTCCGGTCAGTGTTGTATTAATACGCTAAGAATTGTGTCTCGTGCTGCATGGTAATTAAAGTCCCATCAACGACACAGCTTTCAAAGAGGCTATATATTGACAATGCCATGCAAATGTAAATATTAATGTTTAAATATGCCAGAATAATGTTCTTGCGACATTTACGTCTCAGGCTAGTAGGTTCTTGAAACGTATCCTCATCACAGCTATCCGATTCATTCCCCAGGGAAGTGTGTAAAGGGAGGTCACTCCGATCCATAGGAATGGTACTGGGAGAGCCCGACATAGATAAATGGTCAGATATTGTTGACTCGGAAGGGTGGAAAACTCTCGATGTTAAAAATTCGACCCTACCTAACTGTTTTTGGACCAAATACCATATGTCTAGCTGATGTACAAAAACAATGCTCCGTACCGTTTAAAAGATGGATTTTTTTCTTTTCAAAATATCCTATACTCACGTTAAAGATCCCCGTCCCAGCCAGAGCAAAACACTAAAGAATTCCACTGTCGTTTTTCAGTGTTAGAGTCACCTGCCTCTGATTACCATTTCGACAATGTTGTTATCTTCCCTTGAATAGATTTCGTTTGAATAACGTTTTGACTACAGAGTTGTGTTCCTTGCGTTGAAAATCTCCAATCGCGAAAAAAAAGCTGTCGTAACGATGTAAACAACTTCGTGGCAGTGATGGCCGACATGCAAGCCCGACATAAACTCGGCCGTTTTAAATGTAAACTACACGCATTAACTGACAATAATAACAACAACGATGTCCAATATCAACTGCTAGACCACGACTATGCGACGAAACAAAGTGACACTCGTTCACACATTGAAGAGACGCTGCCTACTGAGGCCCCTACTATATAGTACTAAGCTAATGACAATTTTACTGATGAGCCGACACCGACGTCCGATGAGGATCCCTCCAGTACTAGTGATCACGAATACGCCAATAACTTTTTAATCTTGTCGCAGGGTAGACGAGTGGTTGAACTCGCGATGTTATCTGAATACCTGGAACAGAAAGGTTGTAAGTGTAGCGGGGGTGGGGGTGAGGGGGGTGTTCTTTTTGTATATAGTCTATGTGTTCTATGTGTCAGACGGGGGTCATGTAGTGTAGCTACTGTACTGCATGGAGGCCAGGGTGCACTGGTGTTGGGGGTAGAGAGTTGGGGGACACAACAGATTAGGGAATGGCAGGACCAGGACGAGTACATACATCAAGTCAGAAACCTTAAGGCTCACCTCTCTCAGGCACCAAGTAGGAAGGGGATGAGTGCATATCCATATGAGGTCAGGGTGTACTGTCAACTTTGGTATAGACTGGTTATGCGGGATGGGGTGTTGTATATAAAGGATAGCAGTGAAACCAAACAAGAGATATATAAGATAGTGGCACCTGAAAAGATCAGAAGGGAAATTCTATTACAGTTACATGATTCAAAAACATCTGGTCATTTGGGGAGGGATAGGACCACTGAACTAGTCACGAAACGGTTTTATTGGCCTGGCCTTTCAGAAGATGTCAGAAGGTGGTGTAGGTCCTGTAATCAGTGTGCAAAACGTAAACCGGGACCGGGGTTGGGGCGATCCCCATTAAGGCCTACCATAGCACAAGTATCACAACCCCTGGATCGGGTGGCAGTAGACATTTTGGGAGGTCTCCGGGAAACAGGGAATGGGAATGTATGCATTATTGTAGTCGGTGATTATTTTACTAAATGGGCAGAGGCGTACGCGGTTAAGGAGCATACGGTCCTAACTGTTGCTGACAAATTATGAGTTTTTCAGTAGATTCGGCATTCCAAAACAGTTACATTCTGATAGGGGACGAGAATTTGAAAGTGAACTGTTTGGGGTAGTTTGTGAAAAGCTGGGAATTGAAAAAACTAGAACGACCCCATATCGACCCCAGTCAGATGGTCTTGCGGAAAGGCTAAATAGAACCCTGATTCAGATGCTGTCCATGTACGTCAACGATAACCTTAATGACTGGGACGATCACCTTCCCTATGTTCTCACTGCGTATAGATCCACTCCGCATGCCAGTACGGGATGTAGCCCCAATCTTCTCATGTTGGGCAGGGAGATAAATCTCCCGTTAGATGTCATGGTAGGGGGTCCCATGGGTGGAGCGGAAGTCTGCTGTCACAATTTGTATGTTGACTGGCTCCAACAAACCATGAGGGAGGCATTTGGGTTAGCTAGGGAAAATTTAGGGGTAGCAGCAGCTCGCCAGAAAAAAAATATTTTGATCGGGGACTGAAGGCTAGGAGGTACGATATAGGAGCATATGTTTGGCGGTGGTATCCTCCAGCTCTCGGTAACAAACTTGGCATGGGGTGGTCGGGGCCTTATAAGATAATGAGGAAATTATCTGAGGTGACATATGAAATACAGAAGACCCCCCAATATCGGCCAGTTACAGTACATGTGGATCATATCAAAACCTACTGGGGGAAGGCAATGCCATTAAGTTGGTCCGAGGCTGGTGGATCAGATGGACCATCGGGTGGGGATAGCGGGTCCTTAGATGAAGGAGGGGAGTGTGATGTCGATCAGGGGATGGGTAGGGAGGAGAGGGATGAAGCAGGGGAGGAGGAGATATTAAACACACCAGTTAGAACGAGGGCAGGGAGGGTGGTTAGACCAAGAATAATATTTACACCACAGTAGCTATAAGCATTCCAAAATAAATAATATTGTTTAATCTCATTTTTTTTTAGAATATAATAACATTTACATCCTAGAGTTATCGGTGGACCGGGAGGAGCGGGTGGCCCTGGACGAGGATGTGAGGGAGCAGCGGAGAGATGGTGGCATACCTTGTCCAGTTCCGGAATATACCCGCAGTTTGGAAGTGTACACATCGTACAAAAACATGAAGGACCACTGGAGGGAGAGACACCTGCTCGAACTGGCCAAGTACCAGTGTAGCAGGTGCTCCTACAAGCACATTTACCGGCAGCAGCTTGGCCGGCATTATGTGATACGTCACAAGTCAAGGCCAGAGGAGGCGAAGGAGGCGGTCAATGCGGTAGAGGGAGTAGTGTCAAAGAATGTCCGGTACATTCCGCCGGGAGATATGTTGATCCCGGTAAGGCCAGTTGTTGGGAGGTTGGCAGCCTTTCGGGAAAAAGGAGAGTCGCCGGAAGCGAGTGGCTGCCGCAGCTGGCCCTGCTAGGGTTGACTCATCTTCCGTACACCAGTGCCGAGATGAGTTGGTACGGTTTAGGATCCGGGAGGGACGCCCGATCGCCACCACAACAGCCAGAGGATGGGGGGCCTCAAGGGAGGAAGTCGNCGAACTTTGTTGATTTTTTTTTGATTTTTTTTGTTATGAAATATTTAATATTTTTGTATATACGTTTACTTACCAATATCTGGAGTACTCTTTATGGTATTTTATGATACAGATAGGTGTATTTTTGATACTGTATACCAATTTCTTTTATGTTAAGTTTTTTTTAATATATATTTCTTAGATTTATTAATGGTTTATGCTAGCGGGTATGGTTTTGTTGTTGTTAAATTGTATATTTTTACTCGCTTAGAATTATATGGGAACTTTAAGAGATCCTGTATACATAACTTTTTCAAAGAAGGGAAGTGTGTAGCGGGGAGGGGGTCTTGTTGTATATAGTCTATGTGTTATATGTGTCAGACAGGGGTCATGTAGTGTAGTTACTGTACTACATGGAGGCCAGGCTGCACTGGTGTCACCCGACCTCTGTCTGTTGTGGTGTCCTGTCGGTGTCGTCTCACGTAGAATACATTTGGTATTTTCCTATATACAGGTAAGGTGTTGGATGTATGCATAATGCTAGGTGAGATTTGGTGTCAGTTAAACAATAGAACAATAGGATTTAATTACAGGTAAACTATAGTCTGTACTATAAAGTGTCTTACCATGTGAATGTGAGCGTATACATAGGATTGATTTTTGGTGTACAATTATATTTATTTATAAAATTGTTTCCACTTCATCTATTATATTCTTCATCATAATAATAGGTAATATCAGATGAACTGTCCTAACTTTTTATATTATTACAATATAATACAATTTGTTTTATTTAAGTGTCAAATATCGATATACATTGAAACTACAGCAGATTTTACAAAAAGTAAAAGCTACCTGTATTCAAAATTTAAATCGATCCGTTATCGACATCCAGCCTAATCTGGCTTATGAGACACTAAAAGTCATTATCACAATTTAAAATAAGTAAAATCACTAGCACTGTACATAATTATTTAAGCATTGAACTGTTTTTGTATGGTATTTATGATCTAATTGAATGGCACAGCTTGGAAAGCGAACAACGCTCATTATGATTTGTTTGCTTGAAAGGTTGTGTCATTCAAATAGATCAAAAATACCATACAAAAACAGTTCAATACTTATATTTACGTTTTCTCTGCCTCTTATGTTCTTTTTTGACTTATAATTTATATTTAAAGTTAAAAATGTATCGCCTTATCGACAGTCCACACAATTTCGTTCAATAGTTTGAACAGCGTATTGTCGCGTGCTGATTGTCAAACAAAGTAGTCCTTTGAAATTTTAACAAACACTTCAATTTTATTACACAATTCAGTATCAGTACAATTGCGTATGATATGTCTATAGGGTGATTTAAGTTTATCAATAGAACTCTGAACTGAAAGTTATATTTGAAATTGTTTCGATTTTTCCCCGGAACAAATTTCGCGCATGGACAAATACAGTGAACACCGTAAATCCGACTTTGCCCTCCACGAGGGAGTTATTTTTGGAAGTTAATTCGAACCTTTCTCTTTGCTCATTTTGTGAAGAATCCAGGCGTGAATGTATTTGTTGATTGTATGGGAGCCTGACAACAGTCGGTAGATTCTATAACATCCTTGTTATTTGACATGTCGTCAGAAACTGAGGAATGGTGGATACAAGACGCGTGAAAGATAGCGATTGAAGTGAGTGACCTTGCGACGGAGCACAGGTTCGTTACAAATGTCTGAAATGTGTATGTGTGCTGTGACTCATATCAGTAGGTCTGTAACATATGTATCAGTAGGTCTATATAATATTTGTATTTCAGACATTTGTAACGAACCCCTGTTGATCAGTGCAGTGTAACACGATATTTCTGATACATGTAGGATTGCATGAGCGTTAAAATTGTTTCCATTGCCGGCATTGGTGATTTCAACCGATGTGCATTTTGTACGATATTGCAGACATTGGTCTTGTTTTCGTTGTAATAAAAAAAAAAAAAATAATAATAATATTTTGCACATAAATTTACAATGACATTGTCAAGTCTCACAATGCCCAGCGATATTTCAGCAGCCGTCATGTTTATTTATATTGGATATTGTAGTTCCGGTCAGTGTTGTATTAATACGCTAAGAATTGTGTCTCGTGATGCATGGTAATTAAAGTCCAATCAACGACACAGCTTTCAAAGAGGCTATATAGTGACAATGCCATGCAAATGTAAATATTAATGTTTAAATATGCCAGAATAATGTTCTTGCGACATTTACGTCTCAGGCTAGTAGGTTCTTGAAACGGATCCTCATCACAGCTATCCGATTCATTCCCCAGGGAAGTGTGTAAAGGGGGGTCACTCCGATCCATAGGAATGGTACTGGGAGAGCCCAACATAGATAAATGGTCAGATATTGTTGACTCGGAAGGGTGGAAAACTCTCGATGTTAAAAAAATGACCCTACCTAACTGTTTTTAGACCAAATACCATATGTCTAGCTGATGTACAAAAACAATGCTCAGTATCGTTTAAAAGATGGATGTTTTTCTTTTCAAAATATCCTATACTCACGTTAAGGATCCCCGTTAAAACATAGGCGCCTGAGATACATATGATATAAAGTAACGTCTAAAGTCGATCATGTAAAGGTGTAACTGGACGAGAATACCGACCGGTTTTTAACTTAAATTTGTTTACACGACATTCCCAACGTCTCCGTTTTCCTTTTGACTACTAATGTATTTTATAGGCTAGTATATCGTGAGCGGTTCCATTAATCCTTAACCAGAGCCTACAGACCTCCACTTTCTGTTCCACGTCACAGGAACTCCAACCAAGATCGCCACTTGTGGCGACATTGGTCGCATTTCTTCCGGTATCGAAGAAGTAGCGGCACGCTTTATTGTTATTTCGCTGGTCAAGGTTGTAACATCCGTATACCATTGTTGAATAAATTGGTCATGTAAGCTTGTTTTCAATGAATGCTTCAAAAATATATAAGTTCAACCCGAGTTACTAGTATTTCATTAATATAATAATCATTTAAAATGACAACGAAGGGTCATTTCACGTTAACTGTACATCATATTGTACACATTACTCCATTATTTATGCAGTATAATAGTAAACACATATTCAAAGTAGTTTCATTAAAATGTTATTATTCCGTCTATACCACATGCCTACGGTGCTATTAAACAACACTTTATGGCGGTATATGGTACGAATTGTATTCTTCAATTTTATCTTACGAAGTGTATTCCTGTAAAATATAGAATACATGTATGTCTCAGTAGATTAAATACTTCTTTGCATTCATTGAGACTGGAAGAAAAAGAAATGTTCCTTCAGAACAAAGACTTTGTAAGGAATGTACCTCCACAGACATAAAAGATGAATTTTGCTTCTGTTAATTTGTAGTAAAATTCAAAATCTAAGAGTGCGTTTATCTGACTATTCAGTTGTTAAGTGAAGTGTCAAAAATAGTACACAGCTATGTATATTAAGGAAGTTTATCTTTTGAAATTATCAGAACCTCTTAGTTGATTATATTGTGTATTATGTACATCATCTCTATACATTCTCTATACATCTTTTTTTGTACATCGTGTACCACATATAAGGGCCAATAGCCCTGGCTTTGAATAAATGTTGACAATATTGACATTTGTGATATTATGATAAGTGAAAATTATAATTAGTTTTCCTATCTACAGTGTATGTCCACACAAAAGCAGCTTGAGATTGAAATTTTGCAGACATAACTATAAAATAAAGGAAATATAAAAACAACATTCAGTCAACTGTTATTGTATCAGTTGAAATTTATAGACAATGCATTACAGAATTTTAAATAATCTTTGATATTAAGATTAGTGCACGAGACTTTACTTGATCAACAATGATTTAAGATTTTAATAACATGTAGGCGGCTAGTACTGTACCTGTTATAATATCTGTAACATCGTTATTATTTTCAGGTTAAATAAATGTATCCATTTAATTTTTATATTTATATTTCATCTACTACCACGTGTCATTATAATTCTTTAAAAAGAAAATGTAATATTTCTCCGATTAAAGTAGACATAAGTTCTTAATTATAATATGTATTACAATACCATCTGCATCCTTTTGAAACAGACTATAACCAAATTGTGATCAGGTGTGAAAATTGAAATGTATGCTAGGTGAGACTAGGTATTTTAGAAATGTATGCTAGGTGAGACTAAATCGTCCTGTCCACGTGTACTAAGTGTTGTCAGTTTACCTGTCTGTGATTTCATGCTTTTCTGTCTGTGTTCATTGTTGCTATATAGTGGGGTGTTACTTTCGGTTTTGACGCAGAGTGAAGGATTGGTTTCCTGCTACGACTGCCATAGACTTCTGTAGGGGATAGTAGGTACTGTAATGTTAGAATAGCGGATTAGAGATAGTTCATGTATAGATAGATAAGGTTGGGAATGTCAGGTGGATGTTAGCCTAGTAGCCTAATGTTCTTAAAAGAATTGGAGGTTTTTTAACAAAACAAGGTAGGAGAGTCATATACAATTCTTTTATTATATCTAGTTTTCATTTCTGCCCACTGGTTTGGCATTTTACAAGCTTGAAAAGTGTGAGAAAGATGGAAAAGATTCAGGAGCGTGCACTGAGATTCGTGGAGAGTGATTATGTCTCAACATTTAGTCAGCTTTTAAAACCTACTAATAGTACTCTTTTACATGTTAAGAGGCTAAAAGATATGGGCTGTGAAGTTTTTAAAATACTACACAACATTTCTCCTAATTATATACGTGATTTAGTAAAACTAAGGGAATCTGCTTATGATCTCAGAAGGGACTTCACAGTCAGCATCCCATC